CATCTTCTCAAGTGCACATGGAACATTCTCAAAGACAGACCCCTTGTCAGACCACACAACAAGCCCCCGTAAGTTTAAAAAGACTGAAATAATACAAATCTTCTCTGACTGCAATGGAATGAAGCTAGAAAGCAGGTACAGGAAGCAAAGTGAAAAATTCCAAACACCTGCAGGCTAAAGAGTGCACTCTTAAATAACCAATGAGTCAAAAAATAAATCGCAAGAGAAAAATTTAAAATACTTGAAGACTAAAGAAAAACAGTTACAGGATGCAAATGCAGCGTGCGGGAAATTTATAGCTGTAAATGCCTACTGCAGAGAACAAGTCAATAACCTAACTTTACTAAACCTTAAGGATCACGAAAGAAAGCGCAAACTAAACCCAAAGCCAGCAGATGGGAAGAAATAATAAAGATTAGAGTGGTGTTGGAATCAAAGGAAACCTTGTCTATAGAGGAGCCCGCCGGCAGGGGAGCTCTCACACCCAGCACTTCTCTTGCAGGTTCAACAGAAGACGCGCACCTTGCACGTGGCTACCACTTTACTACCCTAACCGGAAGGAGGAGGCTTCCCCCCGCCTCCAGCAACAGTTCAGCCAATGAGAGGCCGTCACAGCCCAGCCAATGGGGAGCCCCTACACTTCCAGCTCCCAGTTTACTCCAATGGACTCTTGGTTTACACCAGCCCCTCCAACCCCTCTTTTCCTCCCTAGAAGAGCCTCTGCTTTGTTCCCGGATTCGCGGAAAGCTTTGTTTGCCCTGGCTTGCTTGTCCGGGATTGCAAGTCTCTGCTATTCCAGAAAAATGCCATTTTTGCTGGTAAAATAACTGGCACTTTTATTTTTAAGGTTAACAGTGGATATAAATGAAATAAAAAATAGAATCAACAAAAGCTGGTTGGACAATATATAGGCTAAGAAAAAACAAGATTCAAATTACTAAAATTGGAAGTGAATAAGAAAACATTACTGGACCTCACAGAAATACAAAAGGATAAGAGAATACTATGAACAATTACATGCAAACATATTAGAAATCCTCTGAAATGGACACATTCCTAGAAACACACAGTTTACTGAAACTGACCCAAGAAGAAATAGAAAATTCAAACATACCCTATAATAAGAGATTGAGTCAGTAATCAGCAACATCCCACAAAAGGAACACCCAGGACCAGATGGTTTTGTGGGTAAATTCTACCAAATATTAAAGAATTAGCACCAATCCATCCCAAACTCTCCCAAACAATAGGAAGGAACACTCTGTGAGGCCAGCATCACCCTGATAACAAAGTCAGACAAAGACATCACAAGAAAAAAAAAATGATAAACCAGTATTCCTAAGAATATAGATGAAAATATTCTCATGAAAATACTAGCAAATATAATCCAGCAGTATATTGAAATAATTAGACATCATGATCATGTGGGATTTATCCCAGGAATACAAGGATGGTTCAACATACAAAAATTAATCAATGTAATACACCATATTAATAGAAGGAAGGGAAAAATTCAACATCATTTCATTTTGTGATAAAAACACGTAAGCTAGGAATGGAAAGAAAATATCTCAAAATGATAAAGGGCACTTTGGAAAAACCCAAAGCTAATATCATCCTCAGTGGTGTAAGACAGAAAGCTCTCTCTCTAAAATCAGGAACAAGACAAGGATGCCCATTTTCACCACTTGTGTTCAATATTATACTAGAGGTCTTAGCTATAGAAATTAGGCAGAAAAAGAAATAAAAGTATCTGTAATTGTAAATAACATCTTATATGTAGAAAATCCTTTAAAAAAATCCACAAACACGCACATCAGAGCTACTAAAGAAATTCAGGAGTGCCTGGGTGGCTCAGTTGGTTAAATGTCTGACTCTTGATTTCAGCTCAGGTCTTGATCTCAGGGTCACAAGTTCAGGCCCTGCACTGGGCTCCACGCTGGCATGGAGCCTACTTTAAAAAAGAAAGAAAAAAAAAAAGAAAAGAGCAAAAAAAAAAAAAAAAAAGAAAAGAAAAGAGAGAAAGGAGAAAAGAAAAGAAAAAGAAATTCAGCAAAATTGTAGCATACAAGATCAGTATCCTAAAAATCACCTGTATTTCTACAGGCTAGCAATGAACAATCTGAAAAGGAAACTTATAAAAAAATAATTTCATATACAATAGAATCAAAAAGAATAACATTCTTCAGAAATAAATTCACTCAGGGAAGTACAAGACTTCTATGCCCCAAACCACAAAACATTTCTGAAGAAATTAAAGATGACCTCAATAAATGGAGAGCCATTTTGTGTTCAAGGATTGGGGGACTTAATATTGCTAAAACGGCAGTATTTCCAAATATTCCCAAAGTGTTCTATAGATTCAATGCAATCCCTACCAATATCCGAATGGCCTTTTGGGAAAAAACAGAAAAAGTGATCGTAAACCTCATATGGAATTGCTAGTGATCCCAGATAGTCAAAACAGTCTTGAAAAAGAACAGAGTTGGAGGACTCTCTTCACCTACTAGAAAGCTACAGTTATCAAGAGAGTGCGGTGCTGTCATGAGAATAAAGACACAGATCAATGAATAGAATGGGGAATCCAGACATTAACCATACAACTGGTGTCATCAAAGGTGCCAACACAATTCAGTGGGGAAAGAACAAGTCTTTCAACCAATGGTGCTGGGCAATCTGAGTGTCCACATGCAACACAATGCAGTTAGACTCTTATCTAACACCACATGCAAAAATGAACTCAAATTGGATCAGAGCCCTGAATCTAAGAACTGAATTTGTAAAATGCTTAGAAAAGACAGGTGCAAATATTCATAATCTTGAGTTTAACAACAGTTTCTTACATGACTCCAAAAGCATGAGCATGAAGGGAAAAAAATGAACCTCACGAACATTAACATTTTTTTGCCTTGAAGAGCACTGTAAGAAAGTGAAATGACAAGGTACAGGATAAGAGGAAATATTTGCAAATCCTATATCTGATAAGGCCTAGTATCCAAAATATGTATAGAATAGTTAAAACTGACCAACAAAAAGGCAAACAACACAAGTAAAAACGGGCATAGAATCTGCAGCATCATTTCTCCAGAGACAGATCCGGGGCCAATAAGCACAGGAGAAGATCCACATCAGCAGCCGCTGGGGAGCCGCCAATGGAGAACACAGGGGGACGCCTCACCCGCACCCGGGTGGCTGTAGCCCTGGGACAGACGGCGGCGGCGGGAATTCAAAAGGCTCCTGGATGAGTCACATGCGGACTCGTTACACCGGCGCGCACACCTGCACCGGGCGGGACGCACCAGCGCGCACACACCTGCACCGGGCGGGGCGGATTGCCCGGCCGCGAAGAGGGCCTAAGTACTGGCCCGAGGGCCCCGCTCTGCAGACGCCCCTCTTCTCCCTCGCGGTGAGCACAACACGGCGAGCTTCACCTCACCGGGAACATCTTTAAAGCCAGGAAAACTCGGACACGCGGAACGCTGCCCGTGTAAGACGCCACGCAGGTCCAGGGTCCCTTCGCAAAGTCAAGAAACGGGCCAAGGAACCCAGGCGCCCTATAAACGTCATCTACAGCTTCCCCCCCACACACACACAACTGTCCCCAGAGCCGCACACAGACGCGGAAGGCCAAGCCACTTACCTCGGGTCTGGGGAGGAAGACCCCGCCGCCTGCACGCGCGACGTCGCCACTGGGAGGCCCGCGCCGCACAAACCTACGATGACGTTCACACTCCCCAGCGGGGCTTCGCCTTACCAGCAGCACACTCCGCTCGGCCGCGACACCCGAGCCACCGGGACAGACACGACCCCGGTCCCTCGCCGGCGGAGCGTACCTGAGCGCCTCGACGGCCCCGCCGGCCCCGCCCCCGCCGGAGGACGCCCCGCCGGCCACGCCCCCGCGTGAGCGCCTACCATGCCAGCCACGCCTCCGACCACGCCCCCGCGCGAGAACCCCTCCTGCCGACCCCGCCCGACGACCACGGCCCCGCTCGAGGACGCCCCGCCGGCCCCGCCCCCGCAGCCCACCCCTCCCGGCCCCGCCCCCACCAACCACGCCCCCGCCGGAGGACGCCCCGCCGGCCACGCCCCCGCGTGAGCGCCTACCATGCCAGCCACGCCTCCGACCACGCCCCCGCGCGAGAACCCCTCCTGCCGACCCCGCCCGACGACCACGGCCCCGCTCGAGGACGCCCCGCCGGCCCCGCCCCCGCAGCCCACCCCTCCCGGCCCCGCCCCCACCAACCACGCCCCCGCCGGAGGACGCCCCGCCGGCCACGCCCCCGCGTGAGCGCCAACCATGCCAGCCACGCCTCCGACCACGCCCCCGCGCGAGAACCCCTCCTGCCGACCCCGCCCGACGACCACGGCCCCGCTCGAGGACGCCCCGCCGGCCCCGCCCCCGCAGCCCACCCCTCCCGGCCCCGCCCCCACCAACCACGCCCCCGCCGGAGGACGCCCCGCCGGCCACGCCCCCGCGTGAGCGCCAACCATGCCAGCCACGCCTCCGACCACGCCCCCGCGCGAGAACCCCTCCTGCCGACCCCGCCCGACGACCACGGCTCCGCTCGAGGACGCCCCGCCGGCCCCGCCCCCGCAGCCCACCCCTCCCGGCCCCGCCCCCACCAACCACGCCCCCGCCGGAGGACGCCCCGCCGGCCACGCCCCCGCGTGAGCGTCAACCATGCCAGCCACGCCTCCGACCACGCCCCCGCGCGAGAACCCCTCCTGCCGACCCCGCCCGACGACCACGGCCCCGCACGAGGTCGCCCCGCCGGCCACGCCCCATGATCGCTCCGCGCCTCCACTTGGCTGCGCTGGACGCCGAGCTGACCACGTGCCACAACTACGCCTCCGCAACCCCCGTGGCGGGGGCGAGGGCGCGGGGACCCTCACCTAGCCCGCTCCCTCGGGCCACGCCCCTGCTGCCCTAGGCCCCAGGGACCCGCCTTCGGTGGCTCCGCGCCCGCGCAGGCCCCGCCCGGCCGAGCGCAGAGGCGCTGATGGAGTCGGAGGCGCGGGTCCTGCGCGCGGCGGGAGGCTTCGGCCGGGCCCGGCGTCTGCTGGCCGCCGCCTCGTGGCTGCCGTGCGTGGCGCTGGGGCTGGCGCTGGGCTCGGAGCCGCTGCTGACCGCGCTGCCGGCGCACCACTGCCGGCCGGACCCCACGCTGCTGCCCCCAGCGCTGCGCGCCCTGCGCGGGCCCGCGCTGCTCGACGCCAGCGTGCCGCGCCTGGGGCCCGCGCGCGCCCCGAGCCCCTGCCTGCTCCTGCGCTACCCCGAGTCAGCGTCCCGCGCTCGCCCCAACGGGACCCGGCCCTGCACGCGCGGCTGGTACTACACGCTGCCCGCCGCCGGCCTGCTGCGCAGCCCGGTCACCCAGGTGCGCGCCCGAGCCGCGGAGGAGCGTCGCACGGGCTGGGCCCCCGGCGCTCCGCCTTCCACCCAGCCCCCCACCCCGCCTCCTCTCTCCTCTCTGTCCCTACATTTCTCCGTCTCCCGCTCTTCCGCCCCCCGCGCCCCAATCTCTCTGCCCCGTCCTCTGCTCCCCCTTTCCTCTGTCCCCGCCTCCTTCTTCCCCCTTGTCCTCTGCCCTTGGTCTGCTGGGGCTGTCATGCCGGGCTCTTAGTTGGGGGTCAGATGATGCAGCAGATGCCCGAGTAGACGGGGGCCGGGGCGTAATGGCAGAACCCGCTGCCCGAGGTCTGCCAGTGTGGGCGGGCAGCCTGGAGGAAGAGGAGTTCAGCTGAAGGTATGAGCACATAAGCGCCAGGTGGTCCGCGGTACGTGGCACTTCAGTGCCACCAACGTTTTGAGTAAGCTGTGGCTTTGGGCCGTGTAGGTGTCGAAATTGGGTTTCCAAGACAGGAGGTTTTGAATCAAGGTAGCCACACAGAGATAGCAAACCTTCCCGTTGACGTGCAAACAAGCTGGCCGGGGGGCGGGGGCAATTCAGGGGTCTGGGTGGGAAGAGATGGGGAAGGGGCAGGTGGAACCTCCCAGGCCCCTCGTCCTCTCCTTCGTCCCTCAGGCTAGGACCTGCCCAACTCTGCCTCCCTCTTGGCCTGGGCCCCGCAGCCCTGACTCTGTCCCTGGGTGGATTGGCCCCGGGTGGATTGGCCCCGGTGTGGAAACTGGGACAGGGTTGCCACATCCCTGCCTGGAGCCCTGAAACTGGCTGGGCTTCTCCTCCGTCCCATTCTGTTCCCCGTCGCACCTGCCCTTTTGTTGGGGTACTGATCAATCATCCCCCTCCCCCCAGCTTTCGTGAACGTTTGGTTTTTAAACTAAAAGCTCTGATGTACTGTGACCCAAAACAGTATGTTAGGTCTGAGGAGAAGGCGCGGACACCTGGAAGGAGAGGTGGGGAAGGGCAAAACTGAGGTCAAGGGCCCTTGTCCGGGAAGAGCAGGTGAGACCAGCTCTCCAGCCTGTTCCCGGAGTCACTCTTCAAATGAGCAGGGCAGGGGGGAAGTGAGGGCGCGGCCCTTGGCACAGCGGTAGGCCAATCAAGAGTCACCTGTGGTGGGACAGCAATGGCTGCCCAGAGGTGAGTGGGACTACCTACCCAGAAAAACTAGAAAACAGACGTGGGGCTCCAGGTGGGGCCTCAGACCAGGAACTGTTCAAATCCCAGCGGAAGACTACCAGAGTCAGGAGACTATGCTGTGTGACCTTGAGCGAGACATCTAGGGCCCTTGGCAGCCTGACGCTCTGGGAACTCCAGCACGGGGGAGGGTGGACCTGGCCAGCCCACAGGTGATTGGTGTCCCCCGTAGTGGAACCTCGTGTGTGAGGACGGCTGGAAGGTGCCTCTGGAGCAGATGGGCCACCTCCTGGGCTGGCTGCTGGGCTGTGTCCTCCTGGGCGCAGGCTGTGACTGGTGAGGTGCTGGCCCTTTCCCTTCTGCCCCAGGAGCCCTACCTTCAAGCCCTTCGGGGTCTAGCTAGATCCCCAAGTTGTCCTGGCCCTCAGCCACGTGTGTCTCCTGCCGCCCCCCCCCCCCCCAGGTTTGGACGTCGGGCTGTGTTTGTGGCCTCCCTGGTGCTGGCCACGGGCCTGGGGGCCAGTGAGGCCCTGGCGGCCAGCTTTCCTGCCCTGCTGGCTCTGAGGCTGCTTCATGGGGGGGCCTTGGCAGGCTTTTCCCTGGCCCTCTACGTGGCTCGTGAGTACCGTGGGGTGCTTGCGGGGAGCACCCCTTCCAGCAAGGCCTCCCACCCGGCTGCAGGGCCCAGTCAGGTGGCACGGGAGGCCTCTCTGGCACTCCCATTGAGGGCCCTTCTGGTGAAGGCGGGAGGGGCACTCTTTGTTCTGTGAGCTGTGCTGTTGGTGGGAAGGTCCGGGAGCTGGAGGAGGCAGTGGGTGGCCTCGGACATGGTAGGCTAGTCACTGGTCCCCCACAGCCCTGGACAGAGCAGCTGTCCCAAGAGGCCTTGGTCTCAGGCTGTTTCTGCTTAGGCCTGGAGCTGTGTGACCCCCCCCACCGCCTGGTGTTCTCCGTGGCAGCTGGCCTCTTCTCGGTGCTGGGCACCCTGCTGCTGCCCGGCCTGGCCCTGCTCGCGCAGGACTGGCGCCTTCTGCAGGGGCTGAGCGCCCTGGTCACGGGGCTTTTGCTGCTCTTTTGGGGGTAAGTGTGGTGGTAGAATGCTCAGTAACAGCGGTTGAGGCTGCGTGTGTCACTTGCCTCCATGCACGTGGGAATGGGACGGGGACCCCGGCAGCCATGGCATGTCCTCTCCCCCTGGGTCCTGGGCGAGGGCATTGACCTCGGTCATCCCTACAGAGAGGACCCGGGGGCATCCTCACCCTGTCCTTGCAGGTTCCCCTCCCTGTTCCCTGAGTCTCCCCGGTGGCTGCTAGCCACGGGACAGCCAGCCCGAGCCAGGAAGATCCTGTGGCACTTTGCGGAAGCTGGGGGCGTGGACCCCGAGGACAGCTCAAAGGAGAGCTCCCTCGCTACAGGTAATGCACCAGCCAGGAGAAGGGAGATATGGGTGCTAGGGAAGGGAGGAGAAGGGTCAGCCCCTCATCTGTGCCCCCTCATATCCCCGGAGCCACAGAACTGGACACGCTGGGTGCAGGGAGCCCCCAGCCCCAGTACCACTCCATCCTGGAGCTCCGGAACACCAGCATCGCCTGGAGAAATGGACTCATCCTGGGCTTCAGTTCGTGAGGAGGGGAGGGCGTGGGCGGGCTGTCTGAGCCTTCCTCCCAGGGTGGGTCTTTGGTTGCTGGAGTCCCCTGTCCTGGTTGGGCCATAGCTCCCCCCTCCCTGCCTCCCTCCCTCCCAGACTGATCTGCGGGGGCATCAGAGCCAGCTTCCTCCGCAGCCTGACCCCGAGTGAGCCCGCCTTCTACCAGCTCTACTTCCTGGGCGCTGGCCTGGAGTTCGTAGCCACTGTGTTCCTGCTGCTGACGGGGGATCGCTGGGGACGACGCCCAGTCCTCTTGCTGGGCACCCTGGTCATGGGCCTGGCGTCCCTGCTGCTTCTTGCCGGGACCCAGTGTGAGTGTGGAGTCCTTGTGTTTGGCTGAGGGTCTGACTGATGTGGGGCACTGGGATCAGCCCCCCTCCTGGGCCCACAAGCGAGAGGCACAGGTGTTGGGATGAAGCTGTGCCTTTTACCCAATCCATGTCCCCGCTGTGTAGCCAAACTGACACCCGAAGGATCCTACGGGAAGGGGCTCAATATAAGGATCTGGTTCAAGTAGGGGCGGCCGGGAGCACCCGACACCCCCCGCCCAGCACAGGGTGCAGTGGCGTGGTGAGAGGCTGGGAGGCCAGGCCCCATGGGCAGTATGGGAGCCTTCTCCCCGTCCCCAGACCTGCCAGAATGGACCATGTGGTCCCTCTCTGTCCTGGGTCTCCTGGCCTCCCAGGCCGTGTCGGCTCTCAGCAGCCTCTTCGCAGCAGAGGTATTGCCCACCGTGACCAGGTGAGGCCACACCCCCGCCTTCCCAGCCCCGCCCACCCTCCCATCCTCCCATCCTCCCTACCCAGGCTTCAGACCGGCCCTTCCCAGGGGGCTTGGGGGACACTGGTCACAGAAGGGAGTGGGGGGTGGGCAGAGTTGAGGCAGCCCCCAGAGAGGACAGAATCCCAGGGGGAAAGCCGGTTTCTCATTTCCCTAATGAAAAGAACAAAACTTGTTCCAGGATGGGGAAGAGAACCTTTCTCCGCAAACACTGTTGAGTTTGGTTTTCCCGGAGCCCCCGCGCTGTGCCCCGCCCCCTCCCGTCTCCGCGGCTACCCCCACCCCCCCAACACCAGGCCCTCTCCCGCAGGGGGGCCGGCCTGGGCCTCGTGCTGGGGGCCGGCTTCCTGGGCCAGGCGGCCGCGCCCCTGGCCGACCTGCACGGCCGGCGTGGCTTCTTCCTGCACCACGTGGTCTTCGCCTCCTTCGCCGTCCTGGCCCTGCTGTGCGTCCTGCTGCTGCCGGAGAGCCGGGGCCGCGGGCTGCCCGCGTCGGTGCGGGACGCCGACCGCCTGTGCCGGTCCCCGCTCCGCGGGGGCCGCCTCCGCCCGGACCACCTGCCGCTTCTGCCGCCCACCCCCCGCCCGCAGTAGCGGGGCCAGGAGGGCTGGCCGCAGCTCCCCCGGGGGGCTGCGGGCCGGTGCAGCGGGGCTGCGGGCGGAGTCGTCCCCCGCCCCCCCCCCCCGTGCTGGGGCCCCCGCTGCTCGCACCCCGCCCCCCGGGATAAAGACCTCCATGGAACTTGGCGTCCTCACTGCTGCTTCCCGCAGGCCGCACCCCCGGGGCCCACCGGCTCCGTGTAGCTCACTACCGCCTACAGCCCCTCCCACCATGCCCACGCCCTGGGGGGCAGCCCAGTGCCGCAGACAGGAGCGGGTGGAACTGGGCTCTGCAGGTCATTGCGCGCCCGCCATGGAGAGAAGAGCACGTTTTTAATTCGGGGGGGGGAGGGCTACTTCCTTTCACAGAGATGAGGTCCGAGTAAGTGGGGGGCGACTGAGAGCCGGGTTGTCTGGTTCTCCTTTCCGATGCGATCCGGCGCTCCAGGCTGTGGGCCCCCTGGACTCGGGTCTCCCCAGGAGAAGCAGGCTGCACAAGGGCCTCAGGGACGGAGCCCAGTGCCTTCTGGCCGCCTCTGCAGAGGCCAGCCGCCCCTCACAGCTGCGCACCAGGCCCTTGAGGTCAGGCTGCCTGTCCTGGGAAGGACGTCTGCCCTCCGTGTCTGGGGTCTGATCAGAAAACCCGCTGCCCTGTCCCTCGGTCTGGCCCTCACGGGGGTCCGTACAGGTCAGCCAGCCGGGCGAAGCGGGGGCCCCAGTCCCGGAGGCAGCTGTAGTCTTGGTCCTCGTCCCCCAGGCTGGACAGGATGGAGCTCAGCGTTCCTGCCACAGAACCATCCCCCTCGTAGTCATAGATGAGAGCTGTGTCGTAGGGTGGGACGCTGGGGTCACTGTCTGCCACCTCCAAGCCCTGCAGAGAGGCCCCGGGAGCTCAGGACCCCTGCACACTCCAACCCCGGGTGCCCTCCACCACCCAGGCTGCAGCACAGGGCAAGCTAGCCCGAGGCATAGACACTGGGGGGGGGGGGGGGCGGATGGGCAGAGGAGGCCCTGCCCAGGATGTGAAGAGACATTTCCCTCTGGGTGGTCTTCTTCCTTAGGGCTGGGATACTCGAGACTCCCTGACGTCCCACCTGGGAGACCACCTGCTTTCTCCCTTTTAAAAATTTTGCAAATGGTTCTGTCACCTCCATCTCTGCCCTGTCACCCATGGGGTCACACACCCTCCTAGCTATGACCTGCACCTGGGCTTGTTTCTGCCCAGGCATCTGTCGGGGTGTTTCTCTGACCAGGGGCACTTCCTGTGCCAGCAGGCGTGGCACGTGGTAGAGTAGTGGGAGGTGCCCTTGTGTTCTCCCTCAGCCCCCCAACTGGGTTCCTGTGTCCTGGGCATCTCCTGCAGGGACCCACTGATGCTGTGTCCACATAAACTACCCGGGTGCCTGGATTCCGGGGACAGCTGCACTCCCAGCCCCGGGAGCACACCCACTTTTCTCTGTCGGTGCCCAATGGAAAGTGCTCCAGAGCAAGCCCCAACCCACCCAAGCTCAACCACGCCCACCAGTATCCCCCAGGGGCTGGTCAGCTTCCTTTTCCCACAGGACTTTTGTGGCTGTGGTCCTCCAGGGGCACCTACGTCATTGATGAAGTCAGCGATATCGGCAGGGCTGGTGGGCAGCATGCGGGGTGGCTGGGGGCGCACTCGGCTGAACGGGGCATCTCGGCGCAGTGGCGGCCGTCCCAGGGGGGCGCGAAGGGCTGCCAGCTCTGTTGGGTGGCGCAGCTGGTTGATGTCATAGGCATCCTGGGGACGAAGTAGGTGGAATTCAGCCCTGATCAATCACAGGATGGGGTTTCCCTCCCAGCCACCTTGTGCGGGGCGTGCCTGGGGGCGAGGACCTAGGAGGACCTGCTGGCCAGCTGGGGCCCCGCCCCTCCACCTGGACAGGGGGAGGAGGGAGGGTTGGGGGGATGCTGGGTGGGGGCCCACAGCCTCAGCTCCTCAGGGACCCTCCCCACCACTTGACATTTCTAACCCACCACATCCCCCAACGCCCTCCCTCACCTGGTCCTCCTCTCCGCCCCCCTGCTCATCGTAGTTGAGGATGTTGTCCCGGAGGTCGTCGTGCAGCCCGTGCAGAAGTCCCTTGTCCCTGGACTGCTGCCGGGACCGCGTAACGAGGGCCACTGGCAGGGCAAGCACTGAGTGGGGAAGAGGGAGAGCAGACAGGAGGCGGTGGGTGCCTAGCCCTCAAGCCGAGGCTGGACTGGACGTCGGGCGTGGGGTGGGGGTGGGGCGGGGGGCGGGGCCGGCTGGAGGCGGGGCCTGCGGGCAGCAGGTGTCAGCACGTGGGACTCACAGAGGAGCAGGATGACGCTGGCCAGCACGATGACCAGGGCGCCCAGGCTGACGCCCGCGCCCCCCGCGCGCCGGGCAGCGGCCCCTGGCAGGCAGGCACCGTCCTGGCCGCAGCGGCACACCGTCACGTTCAGGGGCTGCTCGCGCTGCTGGGGCGGCTGCCCTGAGTCTCGGAGGAGCAGGCTGAGGCGGTGCAGACCCTCCTGGACCTGGTGGCGCAGACGCAAGCGCGCGTGGCTCACTGCGGAGGGCGCCCAAGGTCAGCAGGGGCCTCTGGGCCAAAGGAGTCCCCACCCCACCCTGTCCTTCCAGGGCCCCTCCGCGCCCTCTGCTGCTGGGCAGGGATCCTGAGACCCCGGGCCTCCGTTTCCCCATCTGCCCCCTGCGAGTGAAAGCCCCGCCTCGCCTGAGGATGCACTGCAGTGGGAACCAGAGGACCACGGTGTTGAATGCCCCCCCACCCCACCCCCTCATCTCAGGTCTGGACCCTAGGGATTGTGGTTGGGGGAGCTCACCATTAATCTGGCTAATGCTCCAGTTCTGGGTCAGCTCTGGGACCCGGGGACTCAGCTGAAAGTGGAAGGGGGCCCCGTGGGGGGGCAGGTCCTCATCCGTGGCCCCCAGGAGAAGGCCAGAGCCCTGATCTGGCCTGCTGCACACACTACCAGATGGTGGGGACAGCTCAGGGGCGTGGTCATTGACCTCCAGGATCTCAATGGACAGGGTCCCAGTGGCCGTACGAGGTGGGGAGGCTGCAGGCAGAAGAGGCCTGGTGGGCTCCTTGCTCTGCTAGAGCAGAGCGCCCACCCTAGAAGTCTGCTCCACGGAGCGCACAGCTCTGAGGCCCTGGGCAGTGACAGGGATGCCGAGCCGGGACCAGGGAGCCCAGGAGACCAGGCACAGGCTCAGCCCTCACCATTGTCGAAAGCCAGGATAATGGCCCTGTACCAGCCGTCCTTGAGGAAAGGTGATGCTGGGCTGAGCACTCGCTGGGTCTGGACCCAACCCGTGGCTCTGTCCACTTGCAGCCAGTCCTCTGGGTCGTAGTCCTTGGAGTAGCTATTGGCCGAGGAGGGGACAGAGTGGCCCTGAGCTTACACAGGACCCCCAGGAGTGTGGTCACACTTCAACACACAGGCACACATGTAATACACCCCCACATGCATACACGCACATATATCCCACACGTATACACACCCACCTGTGTCCATTCCCCACACGCATACACACCATATGCACACACGTGCACTTCTGAAGCTAGTCCTCCAACTGCCATGAGTTGGTGTTTACTGTCCCAGTTGACAGATGAGGAAACTGAGGCCCGGGGCCAGGGCCCCATGGCCACTGAGTACCACAGCAAGGTTCAGTGCATGGGGACCATGGAGACACGCACAGATACACAGGGCCGTGCTGGGGATGAAATCCAAACTCTGAACAGCTGAGCCCATGGGAGCATCAGCTCACCAGAAGGGACAGGGCTGGGCGCTCAGGCTGGCCAGAACAGACTGGGCAGGTCCCAGCCCTGCCTTACGGGACAAATTCACAGCAGCATGCACACATGCACAGGCTGTGAGACCCTGTGGACCCTCAGGGATGCACAGACGAGCCCTCCACCCTCTGATCAGGGCACTGATGGGAACCCTCAGCCGTGCTCCTGGCCCTGGCTGGGAAACGGACAGACGGGGCCCTTAGCTCCCTCTGCCTTACCCCTGCGGCCCCCACCTGAGCCTCTGCAGCTGCTGTGTGTCAGGGTCTTGGGCAGAGAAGGAGGCCACGGGGGTTCCTGGGAGCGCCCCCTCGGGCAGGCTGGTCCGCAGGGGGTTCTCCTGGAACACGGGTGCCTCGTTGACATCCTGCACCTGCACGCGGACCCTGGCCTGGCCCCGCTCAGCCCTGGGGGCGGCCGCCTGAAGGGGAGCCTCGTTCTGCACTTCCACTGTGAGGTCGTACTGCTCACAACGCTCGTAGTCCAGGGGCTGGAGAGGGGGAGCAGAACTGGAAGTCACTCACGACCCTGGGCCCCCCAGAGGCAGCTACGGGGCACTGCGAGGCCCCCACAGGGGTCCTGCTGCCCCGCCGTCCCTCCTCACAGTCCCTTTCCCTTTTCAACCCTGGAAAATAAAAATGATTCAGGACCAAAAGGCGCAAAGAATGATGCAAAAACGATAAATACTCATCACTCAAAATGAATGTGTTAGCTTTGTGTCATCAACTTTATGGGTCTCTGGTCAGGTGGTGCTCCCCGGTGACTCGGGCAACACTCATCGGGATTGTGGAGAAGGGGTTTGGTAGCTGGGGTTAAATTAACCTCTACCATCAGCTGACTTTAAATGAAGATGATCTTGGATGACCTGAGTGGGCCTCCTCAGTAGCTCAAAGTCACCAAGAGCAAATGGAGACCTTCCTGAGGAGAAAGGCGTTTCCAGCCTGCTGGCCGGCCCTGCAAACCTGCTTCTTGCAATAAAGCCCTTCCTGTTTCATATCTAAGTGGACCTGCAGCTCTATGTGTGGCGTCCCCGTAGCTCCCACGGCTTCTGGGTCTCTGGCCTCCCACCCGGCAGACACAGGTGCGGTCTGTGTTCATACACATCACCCCACGCCTGAAGAGGCAAAGCTCCACAAACAGCCCACAGGCAGTGGGGGTGCCCCTCCTTCCGGTCCTGGTGCCCTGGGG